AGGGTGGGGGGACCAAAGGCACAGACCCCCCTGGAATGCAGCCAGGGCAGGAAGCCACCGCAGCAGTTTGCAGGGTGACCGGGGGTTTGCCATGGGCAGGGTCCCAGCAGGGGAGCAGGGCTGGGTCTCCAGCCTCACGCAGCAGGGAAGGTGGGGCAGAGCGTGGCTGGGGCTGGGCCTCAACCACTCAGGGATGTGCTAGGAGCATCCCTGTCCCAGCACTGAGCTGCCAGGCAGCAAGGAAGCAATTTGGCTGTGTCAGACCCCTGATTCCAGCCTCAACACGGCTATGCCCACCATGCTGCGTGGCTCAGGGGCAGGAGATCCATGCAGCGTCCCCTTCCCAGGGCTCCTAGGGCCAGTCGGGAAGCACAGAAGAAGCCACCCAGCTATAACGGGCTCTGAACCCAGCACTATCTCTGGCTGGAGTTGGGCCAGGAGCTGCCAGGAAAGAGGCAGGAGCAAGGGGAAGGGCCAAGGGCCCAGCCTGGCTCCCTGGGGACAGCAGGGCAGGGGGAGAGGAGCATGCAGGGCCAAGGGCACGCGTGGGCACAGCCGAATTCCCACCCCTCACACGTGGGAGAAAGCATGGCTCTTGCAGAGTGGCTTGTCCTTCTTGGAGTAGAACGTCTTCCCTTCCAGGTTGGTCTGGCAGATCTAGGGAGAGGAGTGAAGGTGGTCAGGTCAGGGGGCTGAGCTAGACACCTGCCCCCTCCCCCCCCCCTGTCACACAGATGCCAGGAACCAAAGGACTCAGTGTAGAGTCCCAAGCCACCAGCACAAAGCCAAGTGGGGAAAATCCCATGGCAGCAGGACTCCAGTGCTCCTGCTGTACCCCATGCAGACATGACTGCTAGGGACAGGCACAGCCCTCAGTAGCAGCCAGGGAGGGAGGCACATGGCTCACCGCACAGACGAAGCAAGTGTCATGCCAGCTGAACCCCAGCGCCTCCAGGAACCGGTCCCCAGCGTCGATCTTGAAGTCACAGCCACGGCACTTGGTGCCAAACATCTTCTCGTAGTCTGTGAGAAGAGGCAGAGTCCAGCTCAGCATTCCCCCATACCACAGTCCCACATCCCAGGGGAGCAGGGCTGCAGCTCAGACAGAATCCCACCGGCACAGCCTGAGGCCAGTCCCAGGGCACGATGCCCCAGACACCCGGGTGAGATGCCCGCGCTGTGAAGGGTGGCCTGACTGCCACAGGGCCGCAGGGCGGAGGCAAACCTCTACTCCCAGGATGCAGCACTCGCTTTGATGTACATCCTCCCCCATCACCATAGCAACACCTGAGCGACAGCAATACCCAGCAGCCAGGGAGGACCAGGATGGAGGGCTCAGGGCTATGGGAGTGGGTCCCTGTGCTCCCCACGGCACAGGGGGTGCCCCACAGCACAGGGCAGCTCATCCCTCACCCCTGTGGGCAGCTGCTGTGCCCCAACAGTGCCCCAGGCCAACGTGGAGTAACACAAGGGGTCCCTGGATCCTACCTCTCTCGCAGTAGGGCTGTCCCTCCTCCATGTAGAAGGCTCGGTTGCGGATGGGAGTTTTGCAGGCGTTGCAGGTGAAGCACTGCACATGCCAGGTCATCTTCAGTGCATGCATGACCTCCTGGAAGGGAGCCACTGTCAGCTGGGGGCAGGACCACCCAGCGCAGGAAGGGACAGGGATCCTACAGCATGGGATCAGGACTGGAAGGGACAGAGCCAGCAGGGAGCAAGGACAGGAGGTGTGGAGCAGGCTGAGGAACACTCACCCCAGTAATCTTCTTCTTGCACTTAGCACAGCTGGGAGCATAGCGCGTGTCGTAGCACTTGGGGCAGAAGATGGAGCCTTTCTCCTCGAAGAAGCCACCCTCATCCAACACCTTCCTGCACTGGCAGCAGGTGAACTCCTCGGGGTGGTAATAATGTCCCAACGCCACCAGGTACCGTCCCCTGCGGCAGGACAGAGCCACGTCAGCCACGCCAGGACCCAGGACACTGGTGTGGCAGTGGTGGTGGCCAGGGCTCACCTGATGACCTTGTTGCACTTGTAGCAGAGGGGTGTGCGGCCAGGCCCCTCGGGTGCTTGCTGGGCTGCCTGCACGATGGAGCTGCGGTTCTGCATGGGGGTCGGCATGGCCGGCTGGCTGTGCTTGCTCACCACCGTGCTCGTTTTGTCCGGCGCGTAGCGCTCGGCGAATGAGGGGTCCACGGCCCAGGGTGGGCGGCTGGTGGGGCCAGGGGTGGC